AAAACGACGCTATATGGCACTGCACACCAAAACAACTAGACACAAGGACGGTTTTTCCCCGAATGCCATCACTCTGCTAAACAAATAATTCCCTCACCACTGTCAAACTATTCACTAAGGCTGTATTACTATTATTCTTCTCTTCCTTCCTAGTACCTATCTCTCCCCACTTATAAGTATAAGCATGTTGCTTGTATCTTTCAATTTATATTGCTTTTATTTGTTTCCTAGTGTGATCTGACAGCTTATTAGTAACCTTGACTATTACTAAGTGTTGTATTTTTTGATTCTTGATGAATGTATTTTATTCTCCTTATGTACACGGAGCACCAATCACACTTGGCCAATAGAGAATTCTATTCTGTTCTGTGCTTCATCTGCCAGCTTAATGGTCCTTCCTTTTTTTGTCTCTCGCTTCCAGGGTACTCCACTGAAATACGACACAAACACATCCACAAATACCAAAAAGCACGATGTCCGGTCTATTATTGGCAGCCCGGGCAGGAATTTTCATCCCATGCTCCCTATGGAGGCCATGCAGGACTCAAGGACGCTGGAAAGAGCTTACGAGGACGGTTTGAAAAGCAGGCCCAGCTCAGTGACGAACTCGGGGGGTTCCATCACGAGGGGAGCCCCCATGATTATGCCTGAGTCAGGGAAGCCTCGCCATAGCCCCCTGGCATATGAGGACCACCAGACGGCCCATGGGACAGCTTATGGAGGTCACCTGCATCGAGGGTCCCCCGTCTCCACAAGAGAGGCAGCGCCCAGACAACTGGAAGGTCAGCCATCTTGCATATTCTCCTGTGCACTGCTTTGTCCATTTGCCTTGAGACTGAGTTTAAAGAGCCTTAGCCACGCCTCCTCTGGCCGGAAGAGTGCAGTTTTTTTTAATTCAGTCCAGCCTTTAAGAGACGTAAATAATTTAGCTCTTGCGATATTATTCAGGATTTAATTTCTTACTAAATTTGGTATTGTTTTATTATAGTTTATTGTTGTCTTTTTTTTGTTTTGCGATTATGGATTTGTTGTCTGCTGCTTGGCTGCGGGTCAGTGCGCTGGTTTCCCCCAGTCCACTACCCGGTCATGTTGGGGGGGAAGCAGGAATAATTCCTTGCTCCTCATCGTTTTTCGTTTGTTTGGCAACTTGAAGGTCAGCCATCTTGCTTATTATGTAGTAGCTCTTGTTGTGGCCAGCCACAGGTGGACTGTGAACGGCCCCTCCCAGAGGAAATAAAAGGGGAGTGGAGTTTGCAGGAGACAATTAGTTTGCTTAATGGATTTGTGACTCTTCGAGACTCCTTGCCAAGTTTTGCAGATCTCGGCTTGGCAAGATAAAGTCTGTGACTGTAAATCCTCCCTTGAAAGACTTTGCTGGATGTGAAGGAGCAGAATTCTCAGCCAATTAATAAAAGGGTTTTTTGTTGGGACGAAGAATTTGCTTCCTGCTCTTGGTAAGCCTCAGTCAGAAGAGTTCTATGCTACCTGGTTGTAGAACTCAAAAGTGTTTCAGCCCAACTTTCTATTGAAAGAGATGGAAAGACATGAGTTCTGTGGAAAGGCCTTGATGATGTATTTGGTCATGTTTCAAGCACAGCATGACCATTTTCAGGAATTGTAGGCTTGTTTCTAATGCCTGTTGGTTGGCTGCTTCTTCAAAGATGTGAAGGTCTAATTCATTTAAGGGGTCCTTGGTTCTTTCGGAGGTCATTTGTTTTCTTGCTCGACCTCGTATTTCTCTCGGAGCAGTGGATGTGTGATCTTGGTCTGA